TTACTGAAGCTTTTTTACCAAGTTTAAATAAAGATACTACTAACTCACGTAAAATGAAATAAAAAAGTGTGTAAACAAACCTATCTTAACTTAACAATAACACAACTCAAATAACGATAACAGCATGAATAAGAGCAAAAACTGCATCGAAAAGGCAATCAAATGCTGATCATTAACTTAGCGTTCTCAAACAGTCAGTTTTGGTTGATATAGGAACTCACCAGGCCTGAGTTCCTCTTGTGATAAAGTTGGCTTCTGCTCGATCTGTCCCAATGGAAACTGGACTGAATTCTCTGATTTTGCCCACCTGAGGGAACAAGGCCGGCAGAACCATCCATGACGAGTCATCGCTATTATTAGAGCAAACAACAATGTAATTCCAGGCGCTCCGCCTACCCCGGAAAGAATAAGGAGCACTTCATTTCCACTCCCCTCTTTCAGAGACTCTGTCGATTTGGCGGTGGTTATGGATTGGTCGATCCTAGATCTAGGAAATTTGACCGAGTAAGTGCTGGTGATATAACCTTTTCCCCTTCCTGGGTTGGAAAGGGTGTCGGTGTATCTCTTTGCGATGACAACTGAACGAGAGCCCAGAGAATCGTCGTTCCATTTGTCGCCGGGGTATTTGTGGTGTGCACATAATTACAGGGCGATGGACGCCTTACGCACCTCTTCAGATAATTTCCGCTGCACTCTTCTGGAAGTTCATCTTTACCTTCAAGGCAACAATCCGAGCAAGGCCAACGGGCAAAACTAAACGGATAAGAATAAAGTCCTTTCTGGCACTCTGTGCTGCACCGAGTGTTCGAGACCAGGGTGCAGTTCTTGACCAGTGTTTTCCCTGTGGAGCATATTGTGCACGCCATGCACTGCGCTTTATCATATTTTCCTGAGTATGTTTTACCTGGTTGGCACGAAACACAGTGAACGGGTGTCCCGTATTTTACTGATGTACCACATGGCACAGAAATCTCTGGTTCTGGTTTGCACGGAAAGTCTCGTCCGACACCGCAGATCTATACGAGACAATGATAAAAAAACATATACCTATAGTTAAATCAATTGCAGTTATCGTTTTTAAAGTAGGTACTAGATGACCCAAATCGTATCTATCACGGGAGAGCCTAAATCGTATTCATCTATCGATGTTGTGAAACTGCTATAATCCAGCTGAATGTAACTGAATGTATTTATTTGTTCTTTATCAAACGAGGGTCTCCAGTGTTTCTGTATGAATGTCGAGATGATGTAACTACACATCTAAAAAATTGTTTTTTGTCGCGTGCAAACCTGAAAGAATACGCGGTTATCCAGCAAAGGGCTGGCCTTGACCGTTCGTCCCATGAAGAAGTGAAAACATTAAGTGTTTGTGCTCGCCATCGCCATGGTATGGGCAAGTACTGAAGGCCTTCAAAGCTGTGTTAGTATCCAAGGCACAAAGGACCACTTACCAGCGTCAAAAGTCTTGACGTGATCAACCCTGGACGGTTTTTTCCTGTAGGATTCCAGGTCCTTTTTCTTTAGTATGTTTCCTGGCTTGTTTAATTTGCCAGCGCGTGAGGGGCTTATATGGTTCGTGATATTTCAAAAGGTTTTTCTGTAGGGAATCTGTAGGCATACAGACTTAAAATCTGTAATTTGACGCTTTTACCAGGTGCATCTCTATATGCCGTCATGAGCGCAGATAGTTCTTCACTAAGATCGTCTTCTCATGCTATTGCACTCGACTTGCATAGTGCCTGAAATAAATCCCCTTTTGCGTTCGGGGCTACCACCTCACAAACCCGAAGACAACCTTGAAGAGCTTTTTCCTGGCTTTTCTGGCGATCGAGTTCGGTAAAATTTTCCCATGATGTCTTTAGGCGAGATGTTAAGGGGGAGAAGTTGTCTCCAGACGAACTTGATATCGCTAATTTTGACATTGCCTTGTTCTACACATGAAGAATTTCAGCATCTCGAGGAGCGATAAAGGGCTCTTCTTCGTCGGAGCTACCACTGCCTTGTACATTCATTGCACTAAGGGTCCAGGCTGGATCTTGAGGACTCGTGAAGATCGTCTTAGGCGTTGCTGCAAAACCTGGACTCGGCTCAGCGTAGTGTATAGTCTTCAGAGGCTCTCTGTCACAAACGAACTATTTCAATTTTTATTTATTAATGTTGCTTAGCCTTGTAATCAAATTAAAACTTCATTTCTTACTCACAGAGAAGATAAAGTGACCATATAATGAATGTTGTGTACTGTCATGAAACACCTATAAGTTCTCAGCCCGTACTTCAGAAAAGATATTTCTACAATTTAAGCATACCTTGACTAGTACGTTTTTTCAGCAGCATGTGTTTTTGTACATTCCTCTTCAAGAGCAAACAATGTAGAATTCGTATCTGCTTTATGTTTTTTACGACAGGGTGAACATATAGCTAATGGAAAGATAAAAGAAGAGTAATCAAAATACCCTATAAGACAAGCACTGTAAAATAAGAAAACTTTTATGACAAACAAATCCTCCAAAAGTTGTGTGTTTTATTCTTACGTCAGCCTATCGGCATAAATATATCAAACAACTGAAACACCTCCTTAGCCATGGCAGGGTTGAGACTTCCGCCATGATTACCCGGTTGTTTCTATTTTTACGTCCGCTGACATCTATAAGCGCTGACCTGTAACGTCCGTTGGAATGTAACGAAATACATGGAGCCCACCAAAGTACTAAGGGCCTTTTTACATGGAGGTGGGGGACCCCAGGTAAGTGAGATAACCCGCCTAGCCGTGGTCAAAAAATAAAACGTCTTTACATGCAATCTTACAACCTCGAGGTGCTAGAGTGAGATTTCTTGAGGCTGTTGTTGCGCTTGCAATTAAGGAGTTTGAGCAGAGGCGTCCCAAGCTCACATCTCGAAAAAGACGAAGGATTAATTCTCGGACACATATGTATTTATTCATGAAAGTGTCACGCGTTGTGTTACGCGGTGTTGGTTTCGCGAGTAACCGTTGACTTAATATGTTCTACGGAATAGCTTGGGAAACCAAATATGGTCGATTTACAACGCTAAATATTCCGAAATGTGAACATTTTACACTCCTTATGTGTCCGTTGCAGTTTCTGGTGATTTCTGCCATAATAATATACATGGAAAAATTACTTAGTTCTGATTGGTTAAGATAAATGCAGTTTTCAGGTAATTCAGTGCAGAAGAGAGTTAATTCAGTGCAGAAGAGGGTTAATTCAGTACAAAGAAAGAAACAAATCAGACATTCTGATTGGTCAATAATCAAAGAAACTCACAGATAGCCAATCAAATGCGAGCCTTGGATGTCGCAACAAAATTTGAAAATTTGCGAACGAAACGATGGCCGGTGTTTTAAGTAGGCTTTCTTTCGCCGCCGCAGCTGAAAAACAGCTTAAACAACGAAAACACTGTAAAAAGAACTGCTTTTTGGTTGTCGGTTTGGAAAAAGTGGTGTTTAGAGAAGGGAATTGCCGAGGAAATCGAAAATTACGAGCCGACCCAGCTTAACACTTTGCTCGAGCGATCACACGCCGAAATTAAAAACAAACATGGTTAAACCTCGGAAACGACGATTCCATTTCATCGAAAGTGATTAGGACACAGACTGAACAATTCCTTGAACTGTTTAGTCTAAATAGACACTATCTGAGGTTAATTTTCGCCTGAATTCATCATCATTCATGGCAATAATATAAAACTGTTTCACTTCAGGATTTCTGGCGGCGGAAGAGTTGTTTTTTTACTTATATTTTACGCATTTGCTTGGATTCCGCCGTAGTTTGGATTAATGAGTGCTGTCACGCTATAACATTTGCAAGATTCAACTCATCTCAGCAGATAGTAAATGTAAATTATTTTCTTTTTATGCCTATTTTTCATCTTCCTTTCTCCTTTAATACCATATCATTCTTTTTAGGATGGTATTTTAGCGCCTAGCAAGGTTTAAAGTGACATTTACCACGCTATCCATGGACATATTGGCAACAGAGAAGTGTTTCGCCGAAGTAGCAACATAACGGTAAACACTGCAACTTTCAAAGCTTAGTACCAGGTCAATATACTTTAGCCGAAAACTTTTTTTTTCCAGAAACGTAATGTATATCCTTCTAATGTCTGATTCATCACTTGATTGCTTTCAACAGCGTTGGAGTTTGTAGAAATGATTATTTTAAAATCATCTCCAACGCTCCATCTTATTTGATATGCAATATTTGAGAATTTATTTTTCATTCGCTTCTGCAGTTTTCCGATGTTTATCGAATGATATTGCATTAAAAGGCCTTTTTCTTCATAACTGCGTAGTTTTCTCATTATTTTGTGTTGCGATAGTGATTTTTGAACCGGTTTTTTAAAAGGGCATATTTTGGGACAGATGTTGCTGCTATCAGACGTAACAAGTTTGCGGCTCCATATTTTTGGTTTAAAGCGAAACTGCGCAAAAGAAATTCGTTTTTAAATAGTATTAGGTAAACTCTACTTGGAAGATAAAAATCGGCCGATTTCAATTTTTAGCCAGAAATCAACGGTCGTTTCTCAGGCGCAGGGCCTCTCAACAGCTATGTGACCCCAACATTCAAGATGATATATTTAGGTACGTTGATTGAACCGGTTTGACCATATGTCTTTCGTGCAAAGCCCCAAGAAGCAATGTGAAGTATGGAAATGACGTAGATGTGGTTAGTTTTACAGTTTACAGAAAGCTACTAATTAACCCCAACACGTTGTACCATCTGACATTTTTACTAACCTATCGCCATAGGTAGGTAACGCTATGAATAATTGTCCATCCTGTGAGTAGCGCAGTACGTGTTGCTGACAATTATCCGCTGCATAGCCACTAGATAGCGTTATCCGCTCGGACTCTGATATAAATCGAGGGTCACACTGTGAGTCAGCAGACACAAACAACAAGCCCATACGTTGCTTTTACTCGCACGTGCCATTGCTTCAAAAAGGCCTTAGACGTAGCAAAGATAACAGACATATTAATAGGGCGAAAAAGGAAGTCAGTTTTATTTACGAAACATTGCAAAATATTACATCAACAAAGAACCGTTCCTGTGTAAACTGTCCCGATGGAAAACCTACAAAGCTACATGCAACACAACTCATCTCGCAACGGTAACAGTGACGCTCAATCTAGTTTCGTGTCATGAGCTTTAGCCGCCTTAGAATTGTAAAAGTGAGAAATGTATGTGGTCGTGACCCGTTCCTAATTGATCTCGCTCATATTACAAATTTCGCCTTTCTTCATTACGAACCTTATGTGTCTAAAAATTTCACTTATCTATGAATGAATTCTTTCACAAGTTCAACGACATCGTTCCTCAGTATATTCGGTGAAAGGGACTTCAAATCTTTTAAGGAAACCAGAACTACAAAAAGAAAAGGAAAATTACTGATATTTATGTTGTTAAACTGGAAAAGAACGCTACGTTGAAACCATTAAGTGGGTAAACGGAGGAGAAACTGGTCACGGAGAAACGTCACGGTCTGAGTATCTGAGTTCTAATCCTACTTTGTACTGTCCTCTATTTTGTTCCCTTTGTGTTTATTTGAACTTGTTTATTTACTTATTTGAAGTAACTTTTTCTTTCAATAATTAATTTTGAGAACCAAACCTATCACGAAAATATTACGCTGTTAGCATTTCATAAATAAATGAAATGAAACCTGTTTTGTCAAGTCTTACATAAGGTACATGTTCACCACTCCTCGCTTTTAGAAATCTTTGTCATTATCTGTGTCTTAAACATGAAACAGCTGTACCTATAGATTGATATTAAGGGTCTCCCTTGGGATCTGCGACTTTAAGCAAACTACGACAGCGACTGCACCAAGGACGAGTCAAAGCTGAGAACGTGAGCCTTGACAAAAAATTATTTAACTTTCCATTTGGAACTGTTCACATACGTTATACTTAAGTTGAGGCGTAGCGCCGAAAGAGATAGTTAACACATGTAGCCATTCGCGAAACTCTAGTTAAAAATAGAAATAATTTTTTTAATCGCCGTCTTCTCCTGTGTTTTTGTCCTGATTGGTTGGTCCTTTAAGAAAGTGTCTCAACGACTGAGTAATTTGCTGTCATTCGACTGTGTTCAAAATAGTGCAAATGCACCTATCTCCTATCTCTAATGGCACAACATCCAACGGAGTACTCTCTGTTAGTTTGCCGAGTTCAGCGTCTGTACACCTCAAGATAGGACCACACCTCGTCCTTACAAAGAAGCGTGCAAGTTTGTTTCGCTTAAGAACAATTACAATTATTGCAATGAAAATAATGGAAATCCCACACATAGAGGAAACAACAATAACAGTGCCATTATTATTATCGACGCTTCTCTCGAAAAAGGTCCCTTTGATTTACTGCCGTGAAATCCTTCTGAAGCTGAACTAGTTCCATGCTGAGAGGTAGGTAACGTTTCATGAGAGGAAAATGTCGCGTTTGTGGTTATGACAGTGGTTCTTGCGGACGGCTCCAGTGTTCTTGATGAAGCAGCTGAAGTAGCTTCCTCTGATTTTCCCTTTCGGATTGTTCCTTTCTTCGCCGTATGATTTGCTCCTAAAAATGACGTGCTCGATGTGATCTTCGAACAGCTAGGCGCGGCTCTGAGTTTGCAATGTTGTTGACTTGGAAGCCCTTGATCTGTGCACTGCTTTTCTAACTTATCTTTACCGTCCCCACAGCAGACAGAACACGGGAGGCAATCGGAAAGCAGGTTAATGGTGACAACTTTCTGGTAATAGCCGTACTTACAAGAGCCACATTGAGTGTTCTTCGTCGGAGAACAATTCCTTGTCACTGTACGTCCGACAGAGCATAGAGAGCATGGCTTACAGGGTCCTTTTCCATAATTGTCCGAAAAGGTTCCTTGCCTGCATGCCTCGCAATGTAAGTGTGTTCCATATTTGGCGGTCCCTCCGCAAGGAATCGACGGTTCAGTTCCGTCCGGGCAGTCGATACACGGTATACACGTGTTTTTCTTTCCTGGTTTATCGCTACGCCAGGTGATCTCATCACCTTTGCAACCCAAGCAATCTCTTCCTTGTGCTTGGAGCTGAAAAAGAAGGAACCTTCATTTTGTTATTGGAACAGTATCTTCCCCCTCTGTTACCGCCAGATAAGCGTTTTTTCCTTACCCTATAGTAATCAGCTGGTATACAGTTAGCATCTTAAAGGGAAAAAGAGGGGAAAAGAGAAGTTGATGTCATATGCTCAATACTACCGGTGTATGTCATGAATTTACTTCACATGTCATAGGTAGCAATATCAAGAAATAATGATTTCCGACGTTCTCTGCTGATTGTAAAACAAACTATCTGAATTAACAATATACATTTAATCCATCGCTTGAATTTTGCCCGCCTGAAATAAACAGAATGTGAACTTACCACAACTGCAATAATCATAGTCTTCGTTAACATTCCAACGGAGCACATGGTTCAGGAGCACGTCTCCAGTCCACTCGACTTGGTCAGGCAAGGTTTTCGAGATATTGTGTCCGAAATGGCAAACTCTATTCAAGTAAAGCAATTTGCATGGTCACAAAGCTTGAGATATGAAAAGATACTTTATAACGAGACTGGTCACAGCATGCCGGTTTCAAATCGTTTAACGATCAAGAGATTATTGAAAGAACAGTAACACTGTACTTACGGTTCAGTCTTTATTTAATTTCTTGTCGAGTCCTGCTGAACAAGTTGAGACTTTTGATACATGAATAATATCTTGTAATGAAAAGAATCGGTAGATACTCATTCGTTCCGCTCAGTAGCGAGATGTTTAAAAATATGCTGACAAGCAAAATGCCTACCGGTTGGTACTAGATTAGAGCATGTGGGAAATCTTATACTGCCAAAAAAAGGCAATTGACGTCATCCCAAAGACATCTCAACGGTAACAAGACACGGTGAAACAAAAAGGGTTGGGAGGTGGTATCAGTCAATCGAAAGGAGAATCTCAGAATTTAGCACGAATTTGCAAGACTCCATTGAATGCGAACGCAATCACCCTCACCAACTCTCTTTTGACCCAGTTCTACTCTTTCTACCAGACCTTGCTTTACATCCTCCCTCAATTTCCAAGTTCTGATCGAAACGCGTCCACACCATGGCTATACTAAATGTGAAGTCGATCTATTTACCTCAAAAATTACACCGCAAAAAATCCCTCGTTCGCCCACAATTTAGCCAAATAGTGAATGCCTGGGAAACGTCTTGTTCAAATTTCGTTTTCATTTTTACGGAGAACGCGCTGCATATTTGGTATTCATTATAGGAAAACATGACGTTCATGGCAGGTGTTCCAGGGCCTGGAAAACTCATTGTACACTGTGTTTTGTTTCAACAGTTTTACATCGGCTATCCAGCAGGGGTTATCACGGTGTCTGTTTAGTGTTTTCCTGAAGTGGTTAATGCGGTGATATTCGACACTAGTTTTTCAGCATCAAGTATGTTTTCCCCTGATTTTCTAGTGTGCTGTAACACAGTATTTTCTATGTGTTGCCATGGGTCGGCTAACACCGGGAAAATGCGATATTCAACTTTGATTAAACATGCCAATGAAAATCCTGTTTTCCTGAGCATTTCCCTTGATAACAAGTATGTGTGAACACGTGTCCGAAAGCATTTTCGTATGAGAGGATAACTCACGTATAGCAGCGTTTGAAGTCATGTTTTCGCATAGGTTTTCTTCAAACTTGGAATACAGGGCTTTTTTGGATGCGTTCAAATTCCTCTGTAATCAAGAGTTGAAAAATTTGCCCAAGCTTGGCCCTGGGCATGTGAAGAAATGAAGCAGGAAGTTGTGACAGCCCATGTCGCCTCTATGTCGAGACGGGAATTAGCACGTGTATGTTTATGCAAACAACTTATTGTAGTTCGAGATCGCCCAAATTTCTGGAAATTAATACTGAAAAGTACAACGTGAACAAGGAGAGAACCCTAATATTGTAAAATTTTCTAACCTGTTGAGTTATAGAGAGGAAAGCTACATGGTAGATTAGTCATGAATGAGCATTTCAAGCGATTCCGACCTCAATAATACGAAAGACACTTGATCCACCCTGGTTTAATTGAGGTAATGTGCTTTTGGTGGAATTTTTCCTTTTCCTATGGGAACTTGTGGTGGGGATTAAGGACAACCGGAAAATCCACAAAAATCAAAACTCGAAAATTTCCCAGCTTCATGGATATCAACCGTAAATTCGCACGCAGGATACTCAAACAATTCGCAGCGTTAAATCAAAGATTTGGTCGCAAAGGAAACAAAGTTTAAAAAGTGCCCTCATAGTTTTTATTCATAATACCATTATTAGTCCTTTGAACTCCCTATTAAGTAGACATCAATCCTCATAACATAATACGAGGATTAAGGAAGATCAATCAAAATTAGTTTCGGTCAGACAACGCCTGGGTTCTATCTTTATCTCAGCGGCGGACAGAAATAAAAGACTTCGAAAAAAGAAAATACACTTGCTTCGCAACTTCTGCAATCCTGTTTCAAATACGAAGATATGCCTCTTGCAGATACCTGACATAATACATGACAACAATAACGATTTCAAATGCAAAGACGAGAAACAGTGGACGTAAACGGATATGCCATCCCAAGTAGAGAGGTCAAGCATACATCCTGATCCAGGTCAACATATACAATTAAATTGGAATCGAATTAGGGAATTTCCTTTGCGGGCGACAAAGACAACGGTATATTGCAAGCTGAAAGTGAAAGGAAATCCCCCGACCAAGACTATAGAGAGGAGGAAAATCGTCGTGCAGGGAAGAGGGAGACTACTGCGATCTTTCAGGAAAAGTTAATATCTGGAAGACCATCGAAGCAACCGCTATTGGTAAAAGAAATACTTTAATTAACATTAGAGTCTATCCAAGCTAGGCACAAAAGAAGATCATTAGCAGAAAACTTACTGGCTCAAGTATGCGAGTACTGAGGGTAATTTCATCGAACATCGATTATGGTGGTAAGTGCAACTATTTAGAATTACAATGATGTCAAATACTGATTAGAACAAGACATTTATTGACATCTTGGCCACCAATCAATACTAATGTTAACTGACTGCAAGTGATCAGAGAGAAGTCTGGGAACAGTGCCTTATAAACCATGAAGATAAGAAACCTCGGATTAAATAATATTTACTCAAACAAATAAATTTGGTTTTATCGTTCCTGACTAACGTCAAAGACAAAGACGAACCAAGGAACAGAAAGGGAGCAGTATATAAGATCAATTGCTCAGACTGCCACGCCTGCTACATCGGTGAGACGGACAGAAACCCCACAACTAAACTGACTGAACACAAACGAACGGCGAGGAAAGGCGATGTCAACAATCATATTGCTGAACATCACCGACTTACGAACCACACCATTGACTAGGACTCTGTGCAATGCCTAACCTACAGCACCAACTACTTTCAACGACTGACCCTGGAAAGCTGGTTTACTAACTTGGAACAGACTCCCCTCAACAGGTGTCGACCACTACCAGCACATACAAACGATTCATTCCCGACATTAAAATCACAAACGAACCGAACAGAACGACCTGCGCCACTTGAGTCTTACAGCCAATAACATCACAGCAAAACAGACCAATCAGTTTAAACAAACCGGACTAAGTACACTCGACTGACAACAACTGTTCACTTGACTCTGATGATGACTTCCGCTCAGGTTGTCGAAACGTCAGTCACCACTACCGACAACAGTCCTTCTCAGGAATACACTCACCTGGACGATCAAACTACACTATTACACAAATTAGTACATCACCAAAGATTTTGGCCTCCTCTTATTTCCTAAGCCGTATTAAAATATATATTTATATGGTAATTTCATGAGAGTTACTACCTTGCGAAATGGGCTATTTTCACCCTTCTACAATAATGTCTTTCTTTCCGGGTCAGAAAAATACGTTTGAAAATTACATCAAAGTATATTCTCGAAGATCTCAGTAACCTCCTCTTTTACTATCCACACAAAATTAATTTCGAAAAGTAGTAATGTCAGAAAATTTTCTATTTTGCGAAATGGATTATGTTAACTCAGCGATAAATGTAGAGAACGGTAATAAATCCACGCTGAAATAGTCGTCCAGCAGTTTTATAATCGCAAGTGCTACAGTTACTTTGCTTAAAACTTTTTGATAAAAATAATATACATGAAGAAGTTACGCGCTTCTGATTACGCACCCGTCGCACACCCCTTTCTTACGAACAAGAGATCTTGTTTCGCATTTGCGCAGGTTCCACGTGTTGAAAACGTTTGTAAAGGCTTTTCAATTTCCTTTTCTTAGGCCCGACCAGAAGAATTTCATTCAATAGTTAAAACATCCAAACATTGTGAAGTTCAAGGTTAAAAATCCAAACTGTTCAATAATCCGTTTGCCCTCATTCTCGGATATGTGTGGAACAGTGCCCTTTGGTTTTATCGCTGGCATAGGGAGAAGATCTTAAGAGAGCCGACATTTGGTCTTTACACATGACCCTGTTTGTATTACTAAACCCTTGTGTCAGGTATCCCTACTGAGATACAAGCAGCCTTTAGAGAGGGGGAAACACCTCTGCAAGACCCGAGACCAAAGGACCACAGCAAAGCGAAAATTAACTTACGTGGCCACGACCCGTCGAATTGTATCTCCATCACCACCAAACCCCAATTCACAAGTGTACCAGAACCGCAAGCAAGAAACTTTGTACCATCGCTGTTTCTATCAAACGTGATGTCGCTCGCACCAAAAATTGATGAAGTAAGCCACGTTGTTCAAAATGCTAATTACGACCTTGTTTGCATTACGGAGTCTTGGCCGCGACAACATATCCCGGACTCCGTAATAGCAATTAATAGTTATAATATCATCAGACGGGACAGAAAGGGGGCCACTCACGGCGGAGTGTGTATGTACATTAAGGAATCCATCCCTTTTTCTGTTCTCGATTTTTCGGAGGTCGACGAGAATCCGGTCTTTGATTTTGAAGTCCTGTGGGCAAAGCTGCGACCAACTCGACTCCCTAGAGGCTTTTCTAGTATTATATCTGGAGTTATATACCATCCACCGTCAGCTCCTGACTCGAAAATGCAAGATTATTTATTAAATTGCCTTACATCAATTGAGTCTCAACATCCAAACAGTGGAATCCTTCTTGTCTAATCTAATTTCAATCTGAAACAAATTGTTCACTTTCCGACCAGAGGGAAAAGTTTTTTGGATCGTATTCTAACCAACATGAGGGAGTTCTATGATAAGGCCATCGAGCGACCTAAAGTTGGCCTTTCGGATCACAGTTCAGTGGAGATCCAGCCCAAGCTTCGAGCAAAACCATCGCAATCAAAGGAAACAATTATCTCGAGGGATTTGAGACCTAGTAAAAGACACGCAATACAAATTTACCTCGAAATTGTTGACATACCACGCCTCCTTGACACCGTGGAGACCTACGCGGAGAAAGTGTCACTATTTGAAAATATCGTTAAGACGGGCCTAGACTTTATTTCTCCCCCGCGATCCAAATCTATTCATGGAAGCGAGCCTCCGTGGTTGAATGGCAAACTCAAGAACCTGATCAAACGACGCCAACGTGCCCTTGCAAAAGGAAATATAGATACCTTTCGAATGCTCAGAAATTGCGTGAATCGTGAGCGTAAGATCTGCCGGGCAAAGTACTACGAAGCTAAGGTTAGCCATTTGAGGGAGTGTAAGCCATCCGTGTGGTGGAAAGAGGTGAAAAAGCTCAGCGGCATGTCACCTGCCTCAGAAACGCGGGCCAACACCAGCAAATTACTGCAACACCTAGGTTTC